CAATTTCTTCTTTGATTTTTCTGTGTTTAATTTATGATTTCTAATTTCATTGCAGTTTGATTTGATAATATACATGGGATAATTTCAGTTCTTTTGCATTTAATTAAGCATGTTTTATGGGCTAGCATGTGGTCTGTTTTGGAGAAAGTTCCATGTACTACTGAGAAGAATGTGTATTCTGTTGTTGTTGGATTGAACACTCTGTAAATAGCTATTAAGTCCATTTGTTTGAAGGTTTGGTTTAACTCTGATTTTTTTTTTGTCTTGCTGATCTGTTTGTGACAATTAGGTATTGAGGTTCCCCCATTATAATTGTGCTGTTGTCTGTCTGATTTTTATATGTCTAATAGTGTCTATGAAGTTGGATGTGCTGGCATTTGATCTATATATGTTTATAATTGTTATATCTTCCTGTTGAATTGTTTGCTAAATAAATACATAGTGATCTACTTTGCCTCTTCTGATCAGTTTTGGCTTAAAATCTACTTTGTCTGAAATTAGGATAGCTATGCCTGCTGTTTTCCAGGTTCTGGTGCATAGGATACTGTTTTCCATCCTTTGATTTTTAATTTGTGCATTTCTTTTTTTATTAAACATGTTTCCAGTATACTGCATATCATTGGGTTTTGTTTCTTGATCAATTCTGCCAATCTGTGTCTCTTGATTAGGGAAATGAGACCCTTCACATTTACAGTTATTATTGAAAGTTATATACTTATTCCTGTCCTTGCATTTTCTGTTGCCCCACTCCACCCTTCTGCTTAACTGTTCACCTTGCCTAGTGTATTCATTCTATTAGATTTTTTGGCATTGTTGGCTTCATTATCTCTTTCTAGGATATCCCTGAGAATTTTTTGTGGTGCTGGTTTGGTGGTCATGAGTTTTTTGTTGTTCTTTGTCAAGGAAATACTTATTTATCCATCAATTTTTTTTTGTACCAGGGATCGAACTCCAGGCCTTGCGCTTATGAGGCAGGTGGCAGAACCACTGAGCTAAATCCCCGGCCCTATCCATCAGTTTTGAAAGAACATTTTGCAGGATATCTAGGTCTAGGTGAGAGGTTATTTTCTTTTAGGGCTTGAAATATTTCATTCCAAGCTCTCCAGGCCTTGAAGGTTTGGGTTGAGAGGTCTGCTGTAATTCTAATGGATTTATCTTTGTAAGTGATCCGTTGCATTTCTCTAACTGCTTTCAAAAGTCTGTCCCTATGTTGAATTTCTGGCATTTTGACTGTGATGTGACATGGAGAGGTTCTCTATTGATCATGGCTATTTTGGGTTCTCTGCATGTTTAAATCTTTCTCAATATTTGGAAATTTTTCTGCTATTATTTCTCTAAACAGGTTTTTTTATACCCTTTGTGCTGTCTTCTGATTTTCCACATATTCTAGTTAATTTTAGATTAGTCTTTGTGTCATCTAGCAGCTGCTGGATCCTTTTCTCATGTTCTCTTGTTGTTTCTAAGATATCTTTGAGTAACCAGTCTTTGCAAGCATTCCTATCTTCTGTTTTTTATTTTCTGTCCTTACTTTGGTCACTTCTGCTGCCCATACTTTCAATGTAATTTTTAATCTCCTGGATTTTTGTTTGTAACCTTCTCATAGACTCTAGTTCTTTGATAAACCAGTAGAGTAGAATTGGCCCAGCACCCAGTTCTCTGGGAATGGAATACTACAATACTGTAGTATTGTTGATGTCAAAATGGTTATCCGGGTATTGGCATACAGAGAAAAACCTATTAATAGCAACAACTATGCAACCCCGGCTATATCAAGTAAATTAGCAATAATGATATTATCTAACACAAAGTGGATATTAACATACTATAAGAACTAATAATGTACCACCTCTAGCCTTAGAGAAGTGATCTACAATTATTGCATAAACCCTAAGATAAACCAACTATTGACATACAGCAAATGTCTACTAAATACAATGAACTATCCTCCACTGATGATAGAATTCAATACTAGTAACATAGATTTAATTATCTAACAATAAAGCTTAGTGATTATACTATTAAAGATAAAGAGGGTTGGAAATGGGAGAATGCCAAAAAGAAAAATGGAAAAATTAAACATTGGGAGATGAGGAGAGAAAAGTGAGACAAAGGATCCTTCTATAGAGTAGAAGGATATTTATAGAATTAGATAAAGGTAACAGCAAAAAAAAAAAACACAGCAAGAAATTGAACAAAAAGAAAGAGAGTATGGAGAACAGAAAATAGGCAAAAAAAGGAAAAAGAAAACAGGAGTAAGGGAAAAAAAAGTCCACAAATAGAGAAAAACTTTTTTTTTCTCAGTACTGGGGATCGAACTCAGGACCTTTGGCTTTCGAGGCAGGCGCAGTGCCATTGACCTAAATCCTTGGTCCTTTTTTCTGTATTTTTGAGTGAGTGGTTTCCTTTTCAGATCTGCAGTTTAGGAGTCCAGCAAGTCTAGCTTTTTCTACCTAATCTTACGGCCTGCGGGTTTGAGATGTACCCCCTATTCCCTCTGTTTATCCGAGGCTGTGGCAGTATCCACACCAAGATGTATTCTTGCTCACATAGGTGGATAGAAAAAGCAATCAGACCTCAGATCTGTGCTAGATGTAGGCAGCAGGGCAAGGGTTCAAAGTGCCCAGCAGGCACTTTCAGAACTTGCTGTTTTTGAGCACAACTCAAGCAGGGCCTGACTTCTCACCGTGGTGAGGGGTGGGGCCCATGTCCTTCCCCACCTGCATTTAAACTTCTCAGAGGATCTCTTTCTAGCATTCTCCCTTTCCAAGTCTGTCTCCATGGCACTGTCTCACCAAGTCACTGGCAAAGTAATACTGGAGTGCTGAAGTGAAGTTGTTTTTAAGTTGTTCTGAGTCTTAGATTTAAATAATCAAGCCCCTTCCCAAAATAGCACCTGATCAAGGCATTCTTTGGTTATTTGGCAGGCACCTATGCTTGAATCCCTCTCTGGCTGTTTCCTGCTGTTTGGAAGGAATCCCCTCAGAGCAAACTCTTGTGCTGTTTTAAGTTCAGTTTTCATTTTCCCATGATAAGTTAATCTTCAGTTTGTGTTAAATTTTAGTTTATTGAGTCCATATGTTCATGTTGAATAAGAAGTTCTTTCTGTATTTCTCTCCCTACCCTTACATACCAGTCCCAGTGTACCAATTTCGTGTTTTTTCCCCCAGCTTACCTACCCAGAACTTCATTGAAATACAGATTTGAGATTGGAAGTTTGTATTTCTGATCAACAGAAATTTTTAGATTATTACAGATGTACTTACTGAGCTGAAGTCCTGGGCTTTGTTCACCATCACAAGGTTTTACCTACGGTTTTCTGCTCCCCTAAATACTGACTTGTATAAGTGGTGGCCCAAGTCAACACTGAGCAGTCACTCTCCTTTCCTAGAGCCTAGGTTGCACATCATCCTCTGCCTCCCAGCAGTGAGCTGACCTGGGAACTGATCTTCATCTCAATCCAACATTCCCATTCACCCCTAGTCTGAGCTTTGGACTACCTCCTTCCCTTGTGGAGCCCTGACAGCTAGTGCTTCATTTTTTATTTCAGACATATTTATCTTTTTTAAAAAATATGAGATTATTATATCTTTTTAATTTTCTCTTTTAATATTTTTGCTCTTATTTGTTTTTGTAACAGAGTGTGTTTCATTACAGAATTGGCCCAAAGCTTGAAATTTCCAGTGATTTTTTTTTGTTTTTTCTTCAAGTACTTGCTATTTGTAATACCACTGATCTTCTAAGATGGGAATTTTTGATCTGCTTTTTTCTTAAAGTAATTGTGATCTTTCCTTAAAAACTTAGAGATGCCTGAGTTATTATCACAATTTTTATTGAAGCAGGAATTGATCTGTAAAGCCAGCACTAAAGCAGTTTTTAGGAATGAGGAAAGAGCCTTTTCTTCCCATTATTTCTTTCCAGCATTCACTTTGTTTTGTTTTTGAGACAGGGTCTTGCTGTGTTGGCCAGCCTCACCTCGAACTCTCAATCCTTTGCCAGCCTCCCAAATGTAGCTGGGATTATGGGAGTATGACAATCCTATATTTCCCTCATTTGTTAATCAAAAAAATACAGTATGAGGAGGCAGGATATAGAATACTAGATAAACCATTTCTGAATTCCTATTTTGTTGATGAAGTATTTATCTGAGGTTTTATTGGCTTTTTAAAAAATTCTGCTGTCTAAATATGTAGTAAAGTCATTCTCATGGAAAGAAATGAATGTATCAAGAATCTTGCAAGTGACGGAAACTTGATTCCAAATAGTAGCATTAAAATAAATTTGTTAGCTGGGCACGGTGGTATGGGTCTATAATTCCAGCTCTTCTGGAGGCTGACGAGAATTCCAGGTTTGAGACCAACCTCAGTAATTTAGGGAGATCCTGTCTCAAAACAAAAAATAAATAAATACAGAGGAATGGGATTCATCATGCTAAAAGTGTCCATCCATTTTCTTAAATTCTCACTTTATATGTTGAACTCATTTTTTCCAATTTGAGGCTACTTTTTCCATACTGATTCAACAGTGGCTAAGGGATGTAAGTGATAATGATAGACAACTTCAGATTAACAGGACTTTTAAAACTCAGAAAAAGCCAGGTGTGGTGGTGTCATCTGTAATCCCACCACTCAAGAGGTTGAGGCAGGAGTCTCAAAAGTTTGAGGCCAGCCTGGGCTATATAAGGAGACCCTGTCAAACAAACTCAGAAAAAAGGAGAGCTCCCTCCAGTTTTTGAACATAAAATCTTAGGAAAAGACCTTCATTAGCCCAAGTTAAGTCACGTATGTACCTATCTTTAAACAGTTTACCCTTGCCAGGGTCGGGGGTCTTATGCCCATGCATTTAGGTGGATGCTGATATACTACGTGACTGGTCCTCCCACTGAAACTTACATCGCTAGATGGTAATCCTTCTCTAACCGGAAGAAAAGAAGGGATATCATCAGACAAAAATGGATGTCTTACTTCTTATATAATCTGTATTTTAACTTTTTGTTTTTATAGGCAGAAAGAATTTACTTTCAGGTTTTCTTACCTAAGGGGAGCAAAGACAAGAGCAAACCTATGTTCTTTTGCCACCGATGGAGCATTGGAAAGGCCATAGACTTTGCAGCTTCACTTGCCAGTCTTAAAAATGACAATAACAAATTAACAGCTAAGGTAACATCTAGTCATAATAATTTTCCCCTAAAAGTTTTAGGATATTCTGTGCAAGCAGCATGTTTGTTTATTATGGTGTGATTTTATTACTCTCTCAACAGAAGTTAAGGCTATGTCATATTTCTTCAGGAGAAGCCTTACCCTTGGATCATACTTTGGAAACCTGGATTGCTAAGGAGGACTGTCCTTTATATAATGGTGGAAATATTATTTTGGAATATTTAAATGATGATGAGCAGTCTTTAAAAAATGTTGATTCTTACTTGTAAAAGTCATTCAAAGTTAAGCCAGAAGTCACAAGGAAAATACTATGTACCTGTTTAGTCAGTTTCTTTTACCACAGATACTATTCATTTTTTAAAGGTTGCTTTTTAATTTTTTTCCACTGTGTCATAATTTACATTATCAATTTTCTGTTAACTTTTGAGTTTTTGTGTTTTAAAGTTTATACTAATAATTGTTAGCAAATAGTTATATTTAATTAGTGTTTTTATTAGGTTATGCTTTAGAAATATCAGTATAGATATACTGATATATACATATACATACAGTTGGTTAATGCCAGCTATTGCTTGGCTGTGACAGTGCTCCATGTCATCTTCCCTTCAGGATATAAACTGCAAAACAAACCCCTTTTAGGGACTTTCCCATTCTTTTGACAGAGAAAGAAGATGGCAGATGTGTTTTAGTTGAATCTCAAATGTCACATGGTCAAGCCTAGTATAATAGGGCCAGAATGTATAACCTTAGTATTGACCTACACCATGATATATAAATTTATGTTGTTTATATGAATTATTGAGCCTTGGAGATTATATCATTCACTTTTCTAAATTTTTGAGTGAAGACTCTCAAGCATTGGATAGGAAAATTATGTTCTTGGTTTCACCTAACTGCACTGGGGCAGATTTCTGATCAATGACTTCCTTGAGTTGGAGTCATCTTTTATGTTTGTATGAATGTCACAAATGAGAAGAAAGATGGAATAGTTCACCCTCATTATAGTTTCTCTATGTATCAAAGCAAGGCATATGTTGAAAGCAAGCACATTTTACCAATGAATTGAAATAAATGCTCCTGACTGGTGGTTTTTGTTTATACCCAATAAAGATCTCTATAGAAGGAAGAGAAATTATTTCTATTTGTTCTTTGTCCCTTTTCTGTTCTAATTATCATGGACATGTACAGTGACTTTGGGTTTAATTACAGGAATAAACTCAGAATGTTCATTTGGTCTATTTCATCTCTTATTCTTCATATTATTCTCATGTGAAGAGCGTAATGACTTCCAGGTTTTATCGGGGTATTTGTATATTCACCCATCAACATAATTGTTTGAGTACCTACTAAATGTAAGGATTGGTTTTTAATTGGGATGATAGATACAGTGATATACATACATATTTGTAGATAGAGTACAAAGTACTGTAGCAAGTTACAAAAGAGTGGATGAACAGTATAGCTGTGTTCCAATAATGTAGCTCTTTTGTCAGAAATTATAAAAACAACAACACCAAAAAAAAACGGGGGGCCGGGGATTTAGTTCAGTGGTCCTGCCACCTGCCTTGCAAGCGCAAGGTCCCAAGTTCGATCCACGGTACCAAAAAATCCAACTGAAAATCAGAAGCAGAAATAATCTTTAAATATAAACTTAGATTTGAGAACATTTTAATACAAACCAATACCTTAGTGTCTATCACAGTTACTTGCACATAGTAGCTGATCACCCATATATCATAACTGAACTGAAATGTGCTGGGAAAACAATAACTATTAAGGTGCGGAGTATGCCCGTCAGGGATTAATTTAAACCTATGCAGAATGAAGAGTTCCTGTTAATAATGAAACAGCAAGGAAAGAGACTGCATGGAGGAAAGGACACCTGTTGGGCATTCTTCAGTGAGAAAGGAGAGGTCCCAGAGGCTGGAGGGTACACAGGGCCTACCTAGGCCTGGTGGTTTCAGCATGAGCAGTCGAGTGCAGAGAACAAGGTATGGGAGGGAAAATCTCAGTCCCTCTCTCTATTTTTAAATTATTCTGAAATCAGTATTCTCTGGTTTTCTTTTTTGCACTTCCCATTACATATGCCTAATGAAATTTTAGGATTTCATTGTCCCCATTTTGCCCCAGTGTCTTTCCACTTGCTTACAGACACTATGATTATAAGTAGAAACCCACAAAGTGGGGGAGGTGTTAAATTTAGATATACAGTTGAAACAACACTATGATACAAATGAATTTCCCTTTAACCACACAGCAAGTACATGTGAAAGATTGCCAGATTTTTTCTAGATTTATTATGTTTTATTGCCTGCAGTTTTCAGATAAGGAAATGACTTGGGAGAACCTCAAGAAGGAAAAGGATTCAGGCATCTGAGGTGGAAGAGTGGGAGACAATATACTTAATATCTTGAATCCAGGCAATAAAAACTGTGAGTTAAGATATTTATAACATACTGGGCATGATGGTGCATGCCTATAATCCCAGCACCTAGGAGGGTAAAGCGGGAGGATCTTGAATTTGAGTTCAGCCTGGGCTACATGGTTAGAATTTGACTCAAAAAATAAAGACATTTGGTCACAAAACTGTAACAATAGCTTTGTTTTATGTTTCTTTTAAATTTGTTATTTTAAACTAAGGAAGTTCCCAGGAAATTTAACTGAAATATCACTGAAACATTAGTTCCATTCCCTAGTCTCAGCATTGGTACAAATTTATCTTGTTTTTAGTGTCTCACATGGAAATAAAAATTATGACATCCAAAGGCTATTGTGTTGGAAAGATGAATCTATATAAAAAATACAATTCCAAAATTTCTGATAACACTTGCTTTGACAGTTCTTGAGGAACAAAAGCCACCCTCACTGCACTTAACAGGTTGCATCAGGATTGCATAAAGGATCTTCTGAAATGGTGATGTTAAGAGACTACCAGATCTGCAGGCTCGATTGTGGACAGTTACGGTGTTAAAGTTTTTATCTTTTATTTCTTGCAGCTTGCCATCAGAACTACCTCCCCTGTGCAGGAAATACAGTTTTCAGTCTTAAATTGAAGCCTAAAATTCCTTATGTTTGTCTTTATCCCTGGCAACTGAGGCTGAACAGGTTCAGTTTATGGCCTAAGTTGGGTCCATGCCCTAGTGAACAAGTATTGTTAACAGAGAATAACTAAGACAGTATTTATGCCATCCCCCACTGTGTCAGGTTCTAAGTGTCCACTGGCAGCAACCTCTGAGCAAGGCTGTACTTTTGCCATAGTACAAAGCTGCCTACTTTCTCCATGTTCCTAAGTTATCTGGTAATTTATTTTCCTAGTTAAGGATACCAAACACAGGTTCATGTTTGCCTGCCAATCTCTAAAGTTGTAGAACCATCAGTAGCCCAAGTGTATGGGCTCTGGAGTTTTCTTAATGCTGCTGGCCACCAAACTAAGCCCGAGGAAAACAGAGACTGATCACAGTCGAACAACCAGCTCCGATCACAATGCCCAAACAGGCAGACCTCAGTAAACACTTACCTGATTTTAACTTAAAATACTAACACTGGTCCCAAGCCTCCTGAATATCTATTGTAGAATTTTTTAAAATCTTAACTGCTTTTAGTGTAAATTTTTCACTGGTATGTATGAGATGGATATGCAGAGCTAAGGAACTTTGGAATCACACCCAAAAATCCCCTAACATAGTGGTTAGAGATTAAAAGTTAGCCTACAGGGTCACAAGTCCAAATAGGATCAAAGCATTGCCTTTAGGGATGAATGCTCTGGCCCTCATCCTCCCCGTATTCCGATTTATTACTTAGATTGACCCTAAGGTGACCTTACCCTGTCTTTCCCCCTTGAATCCCTGCACAGACGTTTTTCCTTTTCCTTTATTCTTTCTTCCTGGTTCTATCAATAAAAAGCCACAGAAGTTTCAGTTCACGGCTATCTTTATGAGACTCACACTGAGGGGTCTCAGTTAAGGGCAGTCCCTCTGGGCCTTCTTGGAATTTGAATTGGACATTGAGTAATCCCTCATGCTTTGCACTGTGCCATGGTCATGAACTGAGACAAACGTGTACGAGAACTTAAACGTGGTGCAATCAAGATTTTAGCTTCAGGTAAACGGGGCTGATTTTCATTAGCAGAAATGAAATAAGGAAGAATCAGATTAGGTTTCTGTTTGCAATAAATTGAACCTATTAAATGTCATGGCTTTTCAGTTTTTCTTACCTACAAGTTAAACAGGTTGTATCATTCACTAGACAGCTCTATATTAGTTCAAAAAGTACAATAAAGTCCCTCCTACTGGACTTTGATCCAGCAACTGTTAACCTCACACTGGCACTGAATGCCAGTACAAAGAATGCTCTCTCATTTTAAAAAAATGGCTTGGGATATCTGATTTGTTTAAGTTTTCAAAATGATTAGCAAACTTTTTATGATCCTACTTCTGTTGTTTGTGACACTGGGAGAAGCAAGGAAACCATTTCTTAGTTTTCTGAATATAGAGAAGACTGCAATACTATTTTTCACAAGGACTGAAGAAACCATCATTATCAGGTCAAGTTACAAAGATAAACGGCCTAACTCCAGCTACCTCTTTGTGCAAACAGAAGATCCTAAAATTCTGCAGGTGATGAATGTGACCAAAACCTCATCAAATGTTACAAACTTTACTATCAATCTAATGACAGATCAAGAAGGAGAGACAAATTTGACCATTCAACTCTGGGATTCTGAAGGTAAGCAAGAAAGACTCATTGAAGAAATAAAGAAAGTTAAAGTCAAAGTTAGCAAACAAACAAAAGACAGTCTTTCCCAGGCATTGATGCATATTGACGGAAGAATCCTAATGCTTGTTGTATCTATGATATTATTAAATAAATGTGCCTTTGGCTGCAAGATTGAATTTCAGGTTCTTCAAACAGTATGGAAGAGACCTTTGCCAATACTTCTTGGGGCAGTCACACAGTTTTTTCTGATGCCATTTTGTGGTTTCCTTTTGTCTCAGATTTTGGCATTGCCCAAAGCACAAGCTTTTGGATTTGTCCTGACTTGCACATGCCCAGGAGGGGGTGGAGGTTATCTCTTTGCTCTGCTTCTAAAAGGAGATGTTACTTTGTCCATTTTGATGACTTGCACATCAACATTATTGGCCCTGATAATGATGCCTGTCAATTCATATATATATATAGTAGGATGTTAGGATTATCAGGCATATTTCATATTCCTGTTTCTAGAATTGTGTCAACACTCCTTTTTATACTTATACCAATATCAGTTGGGATAGTCATCAAACATAGAATACCTGAAAAAGCAAACTTGTTAGAGAGAATAATTAGACCTCTTAGTTTTGTTTTAATGTTTATTGGCAGTTATTTGACTTTCAGAATGGGATCAATGTTTCTAAAATTAGCTAACCTGGAAGTGCTTCTTTTGGGTCTCTTAGTTCCTGCTTTGGGTTTGTTGTTTGGATATTCCTTTGCTAAAGTTTGTATGCTGCCTCTACCTGTTTGTAAAACTGTTGCTATTGAAAGTGGGATATTAAATAGTTTCTTAGCCTTAGCCATTATTCAGCTGTCTTTTTCACAGTCCAAGGCACACCTAGCTTCTGTGGTTCCTTTTACAGTAGCCATGTGTTCTGTATGTGAAATGTTACTGATTCTTCTGATCCATGAGGTTAAGAAAGGATGTGTCTTAAATTTTTTTTCCTACTCTAAAAGTTAAAGGATGACTCCACTACTATTCTGAGTAAGGTATTGTGAGAAGTTTAAAAATTATGTAAAATAATGCCTGCTTTCAAGCCACTATTGATCTGGTTAAAAATTTAATTTGAGTGGGGGTTATGGAAAGTGTATATGTCATCTACATGCTAAGCACTTGATGAGTGTTACAGACAGTAAAATACACAGGAGTTCAGAGGAAAGTGACAATTTTCCACTGTGCTAGTGTGGGAATGTTTTATAGAATGAGATATGAATAAGCTTTTATCATGATCTCTCAAATGAGAAAAAGCCATAGAAATCTCTTTTTGTAGTGAAATTGATATATCTTAAGTATTTAAGGAAAGGATGTCCATGTAATAGACATTCAGCAAAAGCTCACTCAGTAAATTAATATGTAAATTGAATTCTTATTTATCAGAATCAACATACCTTACACTGTAAGTAGCATCTCTGCTTCTATAGCTGCACATACTCCTGTCTTACACACCTCCCACTAAAACCTTTACCTCAAAACACAGAGTCATCAATTCTCCCTTCCCCTCCCTCCCTCCTTCTTTCTCTTTCTGGTACTGGGGATCAAACCCAGGGTATTCGTGTGTGTGTGTGTGTGTGTGTGTGTGTGTGTGTGTGTGTATCTGTATATAGATTTTTTTTTTGAGACAGGGTTTTGCTAAACTGTCCAGATGGGACTTTAACTTGTGATCTTCTGCCTCTCCCTAATATTATTTTATACTCAACCTAATTACTACAAAAATTTTTCCTATCTTTTTATCAGATTCTTCTCTATTCCCAAATGCTACTTTTTTCCACCCTATATTTCTTCTTCCCTAAACCTACTCTAAATTGGCTCTTGACCTGTCTACCTGTCAGGTGAATCTTCTCAAATTCTAACTTTGGTCATGTGATTTTTCCTGCAAGGAACCTTTTGTGCCTGTCAGTAAAGTCCGCATTCCTTAGTGAAGCACTGATCATACTCTGCTCTCTGACCTTATTTGAGCTTTCCAGTTTGTCCTCCTCTCCCACTTCTTTGGACAGAAGCTGTTAATGTAATCAAGCAGAATTACTTAGAAGTTTATGAATATGCCTTTGTTTGTGCAAACAATTCTTTAAACAGCTATTTCTGTCTTGTTTTATTTCTTCTTTTTGGTGTAAATCTTTGGGGGTGAGAATTCTGTTTATTCATTTTGATATTCCTTGGAATTTCTAGCACAACATTTTCTATGTGCTTATTCAAATAAAATGTTAGAGCATGGAGTAGGACCCAAGTGAAGAGTATACTTAAAAAATATATCACTTGGTTGTGTAACTCAGTGGCATAGCACTTGCCTAGCATGCTTGAGACACATTTTGATATTCCTTGAAATTTCTAGCACATTTTCTATGTGCTTATTCAAATAAAATGTTAGAGCATGGAGTAGGATCCAAATGAAGAGTATACATAAAAAAATATATCTCTTAGAGGCTGGGGATTTAGCTCAGTGCAGCGTGCCTGCCTCGCAAGTGCAAGGTCCTGAGTTCAATGCCCTGTGCCAAAAAAAAACAAAACAATCTCTTATGTGTGTAACTCAGTGGCATAGCACTTGCCTAGAATGCTTGAGACCCTGGACTCAATCCCCAACTCCACCAAAAAACAAAATCATTCTTAAATTTTCAATAGAAATTTTTAGTATCAAAGGCCAATCTATATTTTTTTTCCAAGTACGGGCCTCGAGAATAGGATTACTACTCTTAAGGACCCTAATTTCCCTATTTCCTAGCCTTATGGCTACTCATCCAAAACAAATGGAGATAATGCTGTCATCTCTATCAACTGTCCTAGGAATTAAGCGACAGCATACATGTAAGCTGCTTAGAAGAGTGGCACAGTGAGTACACAGGGTTAGCTACTATTATTTTATCAGCTTAAACTTTAACCCTGGATGTGTCTACTGCTAGCTCTAAATATCAACCTATTAACTACGTATAGAGCCTAAACTTCTAACTTTTTAAAATCAATGTTATTCACTATCTTGTCCATAGTATTAGAGGAATTTTATTTTGCCAGTTTTTTTCTTATGTCACCAGAGTACCAAGATTTATCATAGATTTGGTGGTATGATGGTGAATGATTATCCCAATTTATAAAATAATAAATTACATACATGAAATGTTTTACTCCTTGAAACAGAAATTCCATTTAGAAATTTACTAAGTAAATTTACACAACTTTAACTCGTATTTTAATGAACACATTTTAGAAACAGAAGGCCTACTTTCCTACTTGTACTTTGTCATAACCTTGTAATACTTCTTTACATGTCAATTTTCAAAGCTATAAAGTATAGATTCAGTTGAAGTTTATGAGCTTGCTCAGCTCTGTTGTGTGATTCTGGCATAAAACTAGTACCTAATTGTATATAGGGCATAGCACAATGGGCAGGACGATGGGTTAAAGTGAAGAAAGTTCAAGACGATAAGAGTATACATTGCTGCTGCTTTCTAATTAAGGCAACAACCAAAATCCGAGCTTGTGAGAGTAGGGACCGTGTGGTGCCTTGCTTCATGAACTTGATTTTTTCCACCATTCTGGGCACAAAGCAAGTTGGATAAGAACGGAATTAAATTCAATGGTTAGGTTCAATGTTAACCCTATGGGGAAATTTGATTCAGCTCTCATCCTGTTCAATTTGCAACCAGAATCGTGGAGAGAATCAACTTTGTGAACCAAAGTACTACTGTATTATGCAATGTTTGCACAGGGCAAACACTGAACAGAGTAGAACATAGTAGAATTATTAGTAGCTTATCAGTAATGTCTATAAAGGTCAGGATCATATGTTGCAGAGCCAGACTATAACTAGGTCTACAATTCTAGCTTTGTCAATTTACCAAATGACATTTGCTTGGTCCTTAATCCTTCCATGCCTAAAGTCATGTGGGAAATAGAGATAATAGTAGTACCTACCTTATGGTATTGTGATGATTAAATAAGTTAATATAAGCAAGATTCTCAGAACAATGCCTAACATGTAGCAACTATTATTACAGTTACTTTGCTTATTTGAATAAAAAATACTTCATAAAGCAGCTGAAAGTATCGATAAAATTTTATATATTTTTTAATATGTTTCATGTAAGATAGATTTTTGCATAAAAATATGCCTGAAATTTTAGATTGTAATAAAATTACCCAGGTTGTTTGTTATTGTTGTTTTCAGGAATGAGAGGCATAATGTTGAGCTAGTTGTTTAACTTTCTTTCCAGGCTTTTAGAGGATGATTTTATGAAATACTGTTCCAAGAATAACAATTCTATGACAGATATTCTTATAAATGGAAAAGTTGTTAGCATGCATGTTAGAAAGTCTTAAAAAATGTTTGCAACTCCAACTTATGTTGTATCAAAATATGAGATCTTAGACAATATGGAGACTTCACCCCTGAGCAGTAGCACATTGTGTAAATTTGAACATTCCAAATTAAAGTCCACTAAAGAATTAACTATTAACTAAGAAAGTCTTGATGTGAAGAACATGAAATTTTTTTAGTGAAGGAAATTGCCTAAATGGCAAATTTAGAATTCAATCCTAGAAACATGTAGAGCTGTCAAGATGCCCACAATTTCTGAGGAAGGAATCTCAGCAGATACCCTCTTTATTTTTGCAAACACAAGGCATTTAGGTACCTGTTGTTCATGGGGAAGGATGACTGATCAGATCAACTCCTGGCTTGCCAATGGCCATCCTTCCCCCAAATTCCCTTGTGTTTGGGCACTGAATTTCAACTCTATGCCATTTTGAGGTTTTGCATAATTAGAACCTCTCTCACAGATGGAAGTCAGGTGGCAGGAAAGGATGTTGCAGGCCTACAAGAGAGAACTTACCATTAGGGAAGAAAGAAACCATGATGTCCTGGATGCCATCTCAGGTGTTAGATTTTGTTCTGGGACAGTGTGTAGCAGAGGCTGGAATCTGTCTCCTCCTTTACCCCTTCCAACTACCTTGGCAAGGCAGTTGTTCCTTAGGACTGAAAACACTGGCTGCAGAGGTGATTGTAACTTGAAAAACTGCTTCTTTGGGAACTCAAAAGACATGCAATATTAATAATTAAATCAAAATTCTTGGGACCAAAAGAGCATGAAAGAAAAAGATTTCCTGAGCCATTCATTATAGCTGTTAAAAAGAAAACACTAGTGCTGGGACATGTTCTCTAAGCTACTACCAGCAAGGTTAAAGAGCAGTTGGAAGAATGTCCACCAGATTTTAAAAGCTAGAGTATTTTATAATGAAAATTTGGGGGAAAGAAAGCATAAAAGCTTACACTGAAACTGCCTTGGCAATAGGCAAGAGGGCAAGACAATGCAAAGCAGAAGTTTGGGGCTAGGAGGCGGATAATGCTTGAGAAGATGTACTTGTTGTTCTTGGACTGTTTGGGCTGTAAGCAGAATGTGACCGTGCCTTAACTGCAGACCTCAAGGGTTTCAGCATTTGTTCAGGAATATGAAATCGTTTTAGGGTTTCGTTTGTTTGTTTTGTTTCTATCTCAGAGTTTTTCTTACATCATGTACTGTCTCTGCTAGATATATGAACTCTTTTCATAGCACTCTTTTGGACTGTGTAGAACCTGTTTGCAACGCTGTTGCAATGGAGTCTGAACACTAGACTCCCCTGTGCACTGGCAGATTTACCACTTCACTTTCCAAAGGCATTTGCAAGCAGAATGGCCTTTTTGGCCAGAAAAAAACCAAACCAAATCAAACCAAACCACTGAGTTACATGAAAAGAACTGTCCAGTGGTAGCTGAGGCCTCTACAAAAAAACAACTTTACATCGGATGTGGGAAGCTTGAAATGGTTTTAATTTGGAGGAATAAGATATTTATCTCTCTAAAATTGCTTACACTGATTTTAGCAGCTTTGCCAAATCAGTGGGACTGTCTTCACTTAGAAAAGATTTAAAGGTGACTGATATTTCTGGCAATGTCTGGAAATTTTCATTTGGTTATATGTTGGTACTTTTGAGGATGTATTTGGGAAGATTTTTCATTTTGACATGATTCATAATGAGAAACCACAAAGTTTCTACAATCTTTTTTTAAAATCAAGAAACTAAGGGCCAAGGATTTAGCTCAGTGGTGCTGGGCCTGCCTGGCAAGTACAAGTTCTTGAGTTCAATCCCTGGGACCAAAAAATAAAATCAAGAAGCCAAAAGTATCATTTGATATGCAAACAGAAGTATCCAAATCAGAGTCTCTATTTTTTTGTTTTTTATTTTTTTCCCCTTTTACTGAAGATTGAATTTGGGATGCTCTACTACTGCGCTACATGCCCATCTTTTAAAATATTTTTTTATTTTGAGACAGCATCTAAGTGCGATCCTCCTACTTCAGCCTCCTAAGCAGCTGTGATTACAAGTGTGTGCTACCATGCCCAGCTCAAATCAGATTCTTATGATATCATGCTCCAGAGAAATGTAGACAAGTTTCTAGCTCTTTTTTGAGTATCCACCGTTCACATCATTTGTCCTAGAGATGTGTTTCACACTGGTGACAGCCCCTTGTCTTCCGATTAAACAAAAGGAAACTATTACTTCAGAAGCAAGGAGCCAAATAACCCACTTTTCTGGTCTTGTTGTGGATAGGACATCTTATATTTGTGCAACGCTTTGGACATTATGGTAATATATATGCCATGGTGCCAGATCTGTTATTTCATGACGAGGAAACATTTTAAGGGCTATCGAGTAGTCCTGTATTTTATCCAATGCAGCCTCTTGCACCATGTGCATTCTGGGAAGGTGGACTTTGGAGACAGCATGTCTGTTCCATTCTGTGCTTTTGCAAAGGATAAATCACCTAACTTCACTGAGCTCTCAGTCTCATACTTCTGAGGAAGCGAATCATAACTTCTTCATGGAACTGTTGCAACGTTTAAATTAAACAATGCACATGAAACAATTGCCTGAAGCACCTAAGTCAGTACAAGAGAACTAACTGAATTATGGAGAATAGGAGCAGTTGTCTGGTTGTCATTTTACTATAGGTTTACCTCGTAAGGGTTTAGCAAACCAGCGCCACATAACTGGAGTCATCAGTTCAATTTATGTTTTGTCAAGTAGTACGGAATAAATGAAAGAAAGGGAAATGGAAAAAGTACACAAATGGAAGATAGATGTGAGCAAATTAAAATAAGAGGCATCCTTAGAGAAGAAAGGACAAGCATGAGAAAGGAAATTAGAAGAACCAGAGATTTAAAAATGAGAAGCGTGGTCTGGCCGGCCAAATCTAGAAAAGACCCAGACGCAGCCTACCTTGGAGGTAGCCCCGGGGCCCCAGGACTGGGCGGGGCCTCGGGCAGGCACGCCCCTCCGGAAGGCTTCCTGGAGGCGGGACTTCCTCTCCGTCCGGAAGCATTGATCCTCGGGTGACACTGGGCTGAGCGAGCGGAACGTCCTCCAACCCGAGGTGAGACCGGCTTTATTCCGTCCCTCCCTCACCGCCCTCCGGCGGGATCGGCGGGCGCGGGGGTGCGGGGCGGCGTCTCTCCGCCGGGCGGGTGCGGGGGGCGCAGGGTATGCGGGCTGGGCAGAGGCCCCGCCCTCTGTGCCTCGAGTGCCCGGGGCCGCGCTCGTGACGCGGGAGACAGCCTGGGCGTTCCAGCAGCGGTTTCACCGACGCGATTTTACTTAATCCCTGAGGCAGTTTATTTAGTAATTGCCTAGTTTGCATTGTACCGACCGGAGGAAGCTCAGAGAGACCTGGCAGATGCTCGGGTTCAGAAAGTCACGGTGTAGGTGATGGGACAGGGCCCAGGTCCCGTGCTGTCCCCAGTCGGGGGGAGATGACAGAGAGAGTGGCTTGGCTCCCACCATGGGAAGGCTGGCCAGGACAGAAACATTTGGAAACGTTAAAGGATTTATAGCTTCAGGATTTATAGCTTTGGAAAAATGCAGTATCTTAAGATATGGTCCTTATTATACCAGAGTTCTTGAGACCAAAACAATCTCTGAAATCAGAGGATTTACTAAGCATTTACAGATGCTAAACATAAAAAGAACCAGGACCCGGGGACAAGTTTTCCAAAACTGCCAGCAGCAAGGCTAGGTAACATGTGGACAAAAGTACCTGGGACCTAAAGCTGAAAGAATTTTTAGGTTTCAATATAAACAGTCTTTTTGTTGATTTCACACCCTCACTTCGAAACTGCTACTAATGAACTTCCTTGACCTCTCTCTGGCCCTTGTGATTCATCTTAGGGCATCACATAATTTCTATTATTAGCACCCTTCCTCAAGAAATGTGTTCAAAACTGGTTGAGAACATACAGCATGACCACAGATGGCTAAAATGTAGGAAGACACAGTTCTAAGAGTGATGTACAAGTTTTATGGGTTCTTCCAGGTTAAAGCTCCAGCAACGTCATTCAGACTCATTTGCCTGTGCAAATGAATTACCTATTTATATCTGTGGCCCTTAGCTCTTCTCTGAACTCAAGACCCATCTACATTCTGCTTCCTAATTGGCATTGCCTTTTGTTTTTACACAGTGCTCCCATCCAGTAATGAAAGTTTTGATCTTCCTATCTCCTACCCAAATATGAAACGACTTCATTTGCTTCCTTTTTCAGTAGATGCCATTATTCATTCAGTTGCCAGTGCAGAAATGTGGGCATCATTCATCCTTCCTCACCCTCATATCTATGTGCACCCTGTTTCCAAGTCCTCCTAGTTTTAGCCTCCAAAAAAGATACCTCAACTGTCACAGTATCTCTACCTACAAAACCCCCTTTCCAGTTTTAAGTCAACCTTTGGGTGCCCTCTGGAGTATTGCATTCTGAATGTAAATCTCCTAAACTGTCTGCCCACACCCATTCTTTACCCTTCCCTCCACCTTCCACTCCATTATGTTCAGTTAAGGCCTTGTAAAGGGTGATTCTTATTGTCTCCCCCAGCTGTGCCCTCTCTATTTCCACTGATCTCTGAATCATCATGCTTGGGTCTTTTAGGTACCAAGAGCCCTACAGTTGAGAATTCACTTTTCCTTCATGTTTTGGTTCAATCATGACCTCAGGGAAACCTTACCTGATACCTGAGTCCAGTCAAAGCTCCCGGGCTACATCCTCACTGCACTGCTCCTATGTAAACTTTTAACATTTATGATTTTTCATGTAGTCTGTGATTTTTTTTTTCTCTTATCATCTGCCTCCTCACCAGAAAGTAAGTGTGAATGGGACCTGATTTTCCTCACCATGGTGCTGTGTATAGCGTATAAGTACTCAGCAACTCTCTGTTGAATAATTAAACAGTCTCTGGTTGGAGAATCCCAAAAGAGGTGGTAACTTTTGAAATAGGCCTTGAAGAATTTCTGGGAGTGATACAGTGCTATCAGCAGGTGGGATGTGAATGGCTCGAGCAGAATATCTGAGGACAAGGTACACACAGCCCAAGAACTTCAAGTTCTGATAAGAGGAAGAGTGGAATAGGAACATGAATGGAGAAAGGTTGGGAAACCATTCTTAAAGAGGTGGAAATTGCTACTTCTGTAGCTCAAAAAGTGGCTTCCTTTTAAAAATTACTTAAATGCTTGCATAAGGAAGAGCAACCAGCAGAAATTTACGGTGTCTTTTGCCTTCCCCTGCTCTTCTGTCCCCTTTCCTATAATGTGAACAACACCATAGAGATTTCTGGACAGTCTTCAAGATAAACACTGTCAGTTATTCTCAGTTGAAAAGGAGACGACATGAGGGTTGCATTGTGAAGAATGTCACATTTGTGGATGTAACAGTTGAAATGTTTCTGCATGCTAGGTACAAATTTAGAGTGTGGTCAGACCAGTAGTGAGTCATCAGAAGTGAGTGGAAAGCTGGACAGGTCTGAATACAAAACTAAGTTGTTTTTTTCCCCTCTCTGAAATTCAGGGAAGTTCTCAGAATGTTGTAGTAGAAAGAGCAATGGACCTTAAGTCAGAATAGACTTCAAAAATCTGTTATTTCTCCATATCACATTGGTCAAATTATTTTTCATGCTTGAGCCTTAAAGTCTTCATCTTTAAAGCCTTACTTTAAAAAGGCCCATATGTGGTGCATCTAGCTGCCTGGCACTCAGTCAGTACTTGAGCCTTTTGCTCCTTTCCTTCACAGCTTCTCTTGCAGTAGTCCCAGTGGCTTTTCTCTTATTTTCACTTTATTTGCCACCCAACCATGTACGGCAACTGTCTTGTAAATGTTTCTTGTCCTTTTTTCCACATTCTCCAAACCAGCATTTTTGTTTGTTTTTTATGTGATGTGGGATGAGAACAAAATATTCGCAGAATATTTTTTACTATGAGAACAAAAATATTTGCAGAATATTTTTTACTATGATACAAGTGTTACATTTTATTTTGATACAAGTGATGTATTAGGTTAAGTGATTTTTTTACTGCATCTATGAATAAATCCTGGGAAAAAAAGATCAAACACTAAAATGGGAGAGGGTGAATCCTGAAATAAAAAGTCTATTGCTAATTGAGATGTTTTTGTGAATTAAGTACTGTATAATTAAGACTCTCAGAGATTTTAACTGCCTTGCGCTTGTGTATGTTAAATATATTCAGAAGATGCCTGATCCTTGGCAAGAATGCATGGATTACGCAGTTACGCTAGCAGGACAAGCTGGAGAGGTAAGAACCAAAATGTTTCCAACTAGGATGTGATGAGTATAGAGTGTGCGGTTAAGTGAACACATATTTTGATTAATCTACATTTGTTTTCACTTCAGCAGACATTTTAACTAGAGTGAATATTTCAATTTTATATCACTAAAGATTTTATGGTCATAGTTGTGAATCCAAAATAGGGTATAAGATTACGTGATTTTTGTATCTAGAAGGTCATAACTGTTAAAGACTTATTTTATAACACATTTTGTAAGAAGTTTTTGAGACTAGCATTTAAGACAGATTGAATGTTTTAAACTGTTTGTATATTTTATCTTTTTGTTTGCTGTAAAATTACTTATACCGTTTCTATTTGCTTACCAAAAAAAATCATCTTAGGTGATCTGTGAAGCTCTAAAAAAAGAAATGAATGTTATGATTAAAAGTTCTCCAGCTGATTTGGTAACTGCTACTGACCAAAAAGTTGAAAAAATGCTTATCTCTGCCATAAAGGAGAAGTATCCATCCCACAGGTATTTCTTACATCAATTTTTTTTTCTTTTTCTTTTTTTTGGGGGGGCTACCGGGAATCGAATTTGGGTCCTTGCACTTGCGAGGCAGGTGGCACAACCACTGAGCTAAATCCCCGGCCCTCTTACATCAATTTCAAATGGTAAAATTAAGCCTATGTTGGGCTAAAATCTTGATTCCAGATACAGAACTTTACTTTAGTTAACTTAAGCTGAGAGGAAATTTGTTTTGAGGTTGTCGGATAGCTTAGGCCCCTTCAAGGGAAGAAGTCATACCTAGAGGTTACACAGGAGCCATTGCTTAGGATGGCTCTGGTGGCCTTGCTCTTGACTGATGGTTTTAAATACTTTCTAACCAACCTATATCTTTATTTCAAATCCTGGGAAGGAACATGTTGCTGAGCTCAGTGGTTTGCCTGTGCTCACAGTGCCAGGGATCAGGGAAGAGGAAATGTTTGGATTCCTCCATCATAAGAAGAATATTCGGATGCTGGCAAGCAAACACCTGCCACAGGCATTATTTAAAAGTTTAGTTATATTCACTGTGTTGTGGGCTTATGTGGCAGAGTAGAAGTAGTTTTAAGGAGTTGGGAAGAAAATACTAAAATTAGGGCTCTCTCACGAGCATAGACATACTGCCATCATTTTGAAGTTCTAGCATTGCCATTCTACTTTTTCCTAGTCATGCCACTGCCCATTCCTGGTCTTTTAGCCATTGAGAAGAAAAAGCTGTGGCTAAATATACTTCTTCCCAATAAGAAGGTCTATAGCTAAGAGAAAAAGATTAGAAAAGATCATCCAGTTCAGTGTTGAATAATGGAAAATAAACAAAGTAGAAAATTAAAACCAGTGAACTCAGACAACATTGTTGAGATTTATGTAAAATTCATAGCATGTTTTAGGAAGATATCTACACAGTAATTTTGGTGAGTGATTTGCTTTCTCATTTATTTATTTGGTGTTCTCTGTATTAGTTATATTTTACTGCAAAGCAAATTACCCTAAAAATCTAGAGCTCCAGACTACAAACCTTTATTTTCTCATGGTTTCACTGGAGGTAGAAATATGAAAGTAATTCAGCTGCATGGTTGTGGCCAGCCTCTCTCCTAGGAGTTGCAGTCAGACTGTCAGTCACGGCTGCAGTCATCTCAAGGCTTGACTAGGGCTGAAGGAATCCGTTCACTTTTGTGATTGTTGACAACTTCATTTCCTTGTGGGTTGCCTGCTGGCAGCTTCCTGCAGCTCCTCACAGCATGGGAGCGGTCTTCTCTTGGGCCAGGGAAGGAGAAAGAGAACAAGATGGAAACCATGGGGCATTTTTTGTGAACTAGTTTCCACAACTACACACTGTCACTTCCACTTCCTGTTGTTGGTTAGAAATGAGTCACTATGTCCAGCACACACTCAAAACAAGGGGTGTTAGGCTCTGTATTTTGCAAAGGAGTGTCCAAAGAGCTTGTGGACTTACTGCATTTCCTTAATGACTTCTCATCTGTGGTAAATGTTCTTTTCAGGTGCACATGTGTGTACATTCACACGTGCCATTAGTTGCCCTGGTATTGTAACTTCATATGCCTTTGCTCTGTGAGAAATAAACCTTTGTCACTTTTCTCGGTTTCTACAAGAAGGAAAAAGGAGAAAAATAGTGTACTTACTGGTTATGTTTTATAGTAGATTCTATAGCTAAGGAAATGTTATGGTTTGAAGTGGTTGAAAGCAATGTAGAGATTAATTTGTCTTTCTTGCTTTTAGTTTCATCGGTGAGGAATCTGTGGCAGCTGGGGAAAAAAGTGTCTTAACTGACAACCCCACATGGATCATTGACCCAATTGATGGGACAACTAACTTTGTACATAGGTATGTTTTTGAAGTTTTAATATAATTACTGTTTACTAACTGAATAGACCTTTAGAGGACTCTGCCTGGGAACATTTACACTTAAGGGAATTGCATAATTTATGTTTCTTTAAGTCTCAGAAAATGCATATAAAATGTTAATAGTAGAGCAAAACGCATTATGCTGAAGACCTTATGTCACATGAGGAGGTGAAGGAAGAGTAATGTTTTGAGCATGTCCTGTGTTGTAAAGTGCGCCATTCTTTTTCTTGCTACAGTAGAAAAATGTAAGGAAGCAAAATGGATGCTTTGAGATGAATAGGAACCTGATGAGATCACTAGAGGAGTGTTGTCTATATAAAATGAATTTCATCTGGGAGATAAAAGTGTTAAAGAGTGCTTAGGTTTTAGAATCAACAGTCTTGGATTTGAATATTGGTGTTTCTTTATTGGCTTTGTGACCCTGGGCAAATTAGTGAGTCTTTGAAACCTCAGTTTTTAGAATGTATATGAAATGGCTATAATAGAGGTGCCTCATAATTATTTATTGTTGGGACTCCCCAAGTAGCACATTTCTATAAGAAGTAGTGCCTTAATGTAGTGCCTGGCACAGAGAAAATATAACTCAGTTTATTATCACTAGAAGAAAGCCTGATGAAATTGCCAGTGAGAGTTAAAGTTTGTACCTAGTTTGATGGGATTGAATACAGATGTTATATTTGAACTTGAGATGTAACTGTGTATATCTATGCTGCATATGGAATCATTAAAGTTATAAAGCTAAGGTCTAGAATCTGTATATGGTAGTATGTTTTATCTTTTAAATGTGGGAAGTAGCTCAGGATATATTGTAATATTAAAAGTTAAGACAGTATTGCAGTGCACGTACTGTTTTGTTAAATTAAAAATTGAAATATTAAATGTTTAAGAGTTTTTCTTTTAAATAGTTAATGTTGAACTTAGTTACTTTCTTCAGACTAATGTCCTTGAGTCAGAAATTAAAACTGTTCAAACTGTCAAGCAGCCATAGAAATCACGGTGGCTGCCCATTTCCTTTAAAACTTGTGAAGCACCAAGTATTTTTGTTTTTTGGTTTTTTTTTTTGGTTCCAGGATCGAACTCGGGACCTTGTGCTCATGAGGCAGGCGGTGGCACCACTGAGCTAAATCCCCAGCCCTGTGAAGCACCAAGTTTGGTGTTGGAGTGGAGACAAGCAACAGTTTTTTCTGTTCCTAGGTTTACCACAGGACCAAGTCATGAGGAAATAAACAGAAAGGAGTACTTTCTTTTTAAGAATCCATGATCAGTTTAAAACATTTTTTCAGTTTATTTGATTTATTTTTTGTTTGTTTTGTTGTTTTGCAGTACTGGAGATGAACCCAGGCCTTTTGCTCTGATCTATATCCCCACTTCTTTTTTACTTTTTACTTTGAGACAGTGTCTCCCTAAGTCATTAAGGTACCCAGGCCAAGCTTGAACTTGTGATCTTCCTGCCTCAATCTCCTAGAGTGCACCACCACAGCTAGCTCAATTTACTTTTGTTTAAACAGTTTTTTTACGTAATTACTATATTCATAACACTTGGCATTCAGCAGATATAAAAGAACATGCAGTATAAAATGGAAGTGGCCATTGTCAATCAGTTTCCTGAGAATCCTTTCAGACATGTTTCATTGCTATAGAAGCATCCTGCACATAAGAATGTATTTGTAGTATATATATATACTACTTCCTCCTTCCCTTCCATTTACACATGCTATAAACACTGCTGCGTTTTACTTTGTTGGGGGTGGAGGGGTGAGACTGTATATGAAAATTTTGGGAAGCACTTATGAAAAGATGAATTTTGTTGAAATTAAGTTCTGTCTTGGTAAATTTGTGGGTTTTGTCTCTTTTTTAAAGATTTCCTTTTGTAGCTGTTTCGATTGGCTTTGTTGTAAATAAAAAGGTATGTTGTTTTAAATGTATGATTCATAAAGTGCCTTGCTTTCATTTTCTGAGAAAGAGTAAATGTGTTTGTAATAGGTTTAGATTGGTCTGTATATTCAAATTCATATACATTATTTTGAATCCAATGTTTTTTGAGAAGCAGGAGTTGTAAGGAGAAAATACAAGAAATGAAATACAACTCAGTATCTAATCACTACTATTTATGTGATAGAGTCAGCTATGATAGGAATTGATGTGATCTAAAATACATCTTGAAAGAGGTAGATTTGAGCTAAGAATGCTTTAATTGTTTTTTGTTTTTGTTTTTGTTTTTTGGTACCAGGGATCCAACTCAGGACCTTGTGCTTGCGAGGCAGGTGCAGCAACCACTGAGCTAAATCTCCAGCCCAAGAATACTTTAATTATGTCAGTGAAAAAAGACATTCAAAGAGCACAAAGTGGCAGGAACCAAAGTATGGTTGGAAAATGCAGAGTATCTTTAGGAACCTAAACATAATTGAATACTTACATCTAAAGCACAGTAGGGTAAAATCTACCTATTGCATTTCCTTGCTGTTTGGCTGTTTGGCTAGCAAAACAGTGAGGGTTGTTTAACTAATGTCTTACACTCCTGTCTTCAAGGAGCTTGTGATGTCTTTGACCAGCATGTAAGCAGAACAATTAAGAAATATCTGAAAGGACAAAATTAGTACAAATGAAGACTTCACCACATCACTGTATTAATCAGTGAGCACATCCAAAAGGAGTTAAGTGAGCATTAGCATCTAATCAACCTGGGCTATATCCTGTGCTTTCCATCAGTCTCATAGATGAGTGCAAAGTCAGTTGTGTGAACAAGTAAACATAGCATGTGGTAGAACCATGAAAAAAATACTGTGGAATACATAAGAGGGTATAAACAATTCTGCCAGTAGTAAGTTGGGAAAATCTTCATAGTAGAAGAAGTTATATGAGTTGGCACTTAGAAAATTAGGGATTTGCCCAATAAACAAAAGGAAAGCATTTTAATAAGTAAGAACAGTTGGGAGAAGTTGAAGAAGTAATTTTGATTTTGATCACTTTCTTGATCATCTGCAAGACTAGGGTCCAAAGCATAGGTTCTTAGCTGTGATGATGGGATAGATGGGAGCCAGAATTATTCGTGGTTGTTGAATTTGGAGACTGGAAAGGAATAACCTGTAAGAATATAGAAAGAAAAAGGGAACTGAAGAAGGGGAAAAATCCCAAGATAGGCAACTTTTAAGCACTAGGCAGAGAAGAAGTTTCAAAAATAGTGATACTGAGATGGACTTGTGAGTGAAGTACAACAAAGAGAGGACAACCAGGAACATGGATATATATTAAATGAAGTATGTAGTCAGTAAGATTTAATTGATGTTCTTTGCCTTAGAGAGTCAGAAGAATGATCAGAGCAGAATCCAAATTCAACATAACAGATTAGGAGATAGAAAATGTAGATTACTCTTTGACAGTGAAGAGGAAAAGGGTTTGACAGTGTCTGTGTGCTGCAATAACAATAGCTGAGACTGGGTAATTTGTAATGAACAAGAAATGTGTTCCTCACAGTTCCGGACACTGGAAAATTTAAAGTGAAGGCACCAGTAGGTTTGGCCTAGTGAGCCCATTATCTTCCAAGATGGCTTCTTATGTGCTGCATTCTCCAAAGGAGAGAAAAGCTGAAAGAGCACGATTCTGAAAACCCTAAAGGCAATAAACCTGTCCGTCACCTCCAAAAGACCCCACCTCCCAATGCCAATACATTGTCAGTTAAATTTCAACATGTGTTGGAAGGGAAAGGCTTTCGAACCATACCAGTAAGAGAGGGAGAAACTTGGTGAGAAGGTTCCAGAAGAGAAATCTAAGAGAAGAGGAATCTGTTGAAGAGGTTTTTCAGGGAATGGGTTGAGAGTAGGAATCTTAACAGTCTGTCTCCATGTGAAGTTAGGGTACAGAGGGTGCTGTAAGTCTAGACATGGGTGGGAGGAAAGTTAAGGATTGTAGTCTGATGAACCCTCTCTCTGTTTAGGCTGGAAATAAACATTTATGTATCCCACAGTTTAGCCTTTGAATACGCTATTGGTCAGTATACTATATTTTCTTGTGCTTTGTTAGAAAAAAATGTTGATTTAATGAAGAACAATACTCAGGTCTGGTAAAGGAAACTTGTTTTTTCTCTGCAGATGGAATTTGGAGTTGTGTACAGTTGCCTGGAAGATAAGATGTACACTGGCAGGAAAGGAAAGGGTGCCTTTTGTAATGGCCAAAAATTACAAGTTTCAAAGCAAGAAGGTAGGTCTGTCCTCCAAGTTTTGGTGGAATTGGTATTGTGGACTCATATTTTATAGCTTCTTATTGTTAACATATGGCATTCTCCACATATCAACCCATTCATAAATTGTGCTTATTTTCTTTCCACTTTGGTATTTTGACTTCAGTTTTGAGTGTGGTAGTGGAAGTAGGGAAGAGAAATGAAACTGAGCAAATGCATTTCTGGCTCAACAGTATACTAGGTGATGGAGCTAGGAAGATGAGTAAGACTGGCTTCTTACCTTCATGAAATCCATGGTTTATTTTAGCTATAGCATCTCAAATTTTTGATAGAATTCCTCTGATCTGGTGCCATATTAGACCAACTCTTAGACAATAAATTAAAATTCAAGTGTGTTAAGAAAAGAATAGAATCATTAAAAATGATAGATACACAGTCATCTCTCCGAATCCAGAGAGGATTGGTTCCAAGACCCCCTGCTGATACCAAAACCCATGTATGTTCAAGTACCTTACATAAAATAATATCATATTTGGATATAACCTGCCCACATCCCATATAGTACTCTAAAATACCTCTAGATTATTTGTAATCCTTAATACAATATACATGCCATGTAAGTAGTTGTCAGACCGTATTGCTTAGGAAATAATGGCAAGGAAAAAAGACTATACTCGTTCAGTACAGATACAGTTATGGGGAGGAACACTTTCAATTTGAGATTGGATGAGTCTGTGGATGTAGAACATTCAGATTCAAAAACTGATCACTTTTTTGTGAGCTAGATAATTGGCATCTAATGTGGGGCAGCTGTTGAGGTTTTGTTACCTTTCTTTCATAAACCATCCAACATTTTCCATAGTTTATACTTTCAGATATTTTTAAGTATAGCAAGAATTTAAAAATACTTGCAGTCCGAGGTCAGAATTCTTCTAGCCTTTTATAATTTTTCTCCTCACCTAATTTGAGAGCAGACTTTTAGTTTTTATTTTTACTGAGCTCTAAGATCCCACAAATTGGACAGTACATCCTATTTTGAGATAATAACGTGAAAAAAAAGTATATCTTTGAACTGAAGGAATGCGGTAGCTTTTCATAGAAACAGCTCTTTTCCTTTGTCTAATTATTTTTCACTTTTTTTGTTTATTTTGTGGTGCTAGGAATTGAACACAGGGCCTCATGTGTGCTAGGCAGGTGCCCTGTCACAGAGCTACAGCCCCAACCCTTAGTTATTTTTCACTTAATTATGTTGTGTATTACAACAGTTATAAACACACTGGGAACAACGAGCTGGTAAGTGTGCATCTTACCTGGTGGAAGGAGATGAAGAGTAGAGGGTGTTGAATTGTGGGAGATTCAGCCTTGACAATTCTGAAGGGGAATGGAAAGTATGGGATAATCTGTCACCTTAGTAAAATGAAGGTCAGATAAGAAAGATACCACTTTCACTTTTATTTAAAATTTGTACATAAATTTCTTATAGAGCTTAACTTCTAATTTCTACTTTTAGTATTTTTGAGACTTACTTGTTTCTCACTAAAGGTATGCACACAGGCAAACTGGTTATATTCTGCACATTTTGAGTAATGGTCTTAGACATAACTTTTTGATAATGAAATTATTACCTAAGGATAATAATATTTTAAGGTTTAGAAAAAAATTGATAAAATTAGAAAGAGGGATAAAAATGTTCTATTCTGAATTATATGTATCAGATTTTTTTCTAGAATTCCGATTAAAATCTAGTGTCTACTTAAAACATTTCTTTTCCAGATATTACCAAGTCACTCTTGGTGACTGAGTTGGGATCTTCCAGAACACCAGAGACTGTAAGAGTCATTCTTTCTAATATGGAAAAGCTTTTTGCTATTCCCATTCATGGGTAAGCTTTTTTCTTTTCCCACCTAAAGTTGCAGATAATTTATCTTTTTGAAGAAGTGAATCTTTTTCTACAAATTAAATTTTTATTAACAGACATAGGATCTGTTAGTACCATAGTACTAATTTTGTGATGTATTTTTAATTTGAAAATTTAAAAATCCAAACAACAAATTTGTCAAAATAAAAATAGTACAAAGAATAATAATATACTTTTTGTGTATGTGTGTGTTGGAGATTGAACCAGGACCTTTCCTACATTCTCAGACACTTTTTTTTAGATACAGGTACTCAGTAGCCCAGGTTGGGCTTGAACTTGAATAATCTTCCTGGTTTAGCCTCCCAAAGTGCTAGGATAATAGTATACTTTTTAATCCAGACTTATCTGTTAACATTTTACCTTAATTTTATCATTGTATGAGTCTGTGTGTGTGTGTTTCCCTGTATCATTTCAGAGTAAATTATATACATCATTGTTTTTCACTTCTGCTCCTTCAGTTTATTTTCTAAAATAGTCATATTCTCTTCCATAGTCCATATACAGTTACTAAATTCATATGTATATTTTTATCTAACTTATCATCTATATCCAGTTTTTGGTCATTTGATCTAATAATACCACTTATGCCATTTTTCTTCTTCTAGTGCAAGATTCAGTTTAGGTTTGGTATTGCATTTAGGAGGGAGTTTTAGGGATGCTGGGGATTGAACCCAGAGCCTCACAATGTGCCGTACCATTGAGCTGTATCCCAGCCCTGGCATTACATTTTCCTGTCATGTCTCAGCATTCTAAGTGTTTCTCTTGTATACAGCATACAGCGTAGTTCTGCTTTATCAGTCAGTTTGAATATTGACTTGTTTTAACACACAAGTTAAGACTAGCGATGTATTGATAGGGTTATTTCATTCAGCCTTAATTCTCTTGTGTCATTTTATATTGTAAGTTGTTGTATATATTGTTTACAGTTACTGTACTTATATGGTAAGCTATTTCTGCTTTGGTTTTGTTGGTTTGTTGTTGTTTTTGTCTGTTTTGTGGTGCTAGGGACTGACTCCAGGGCCTACAGCATGCTGGGCAAGCTCTCTACCAAGTAGCTGCGTTTTGATGCCCTCTGCTTTGTTTTTAAAATTTTATTTATTTATTTTTTTGTATTTTATATTGGTTTTCTTTTGTTGGTTTTTCGAGGCAGGGTTGAACTATGCAGTTTAGGGTGGCTTTGAACTTGCTGTGAGCTCAGGATAGCCTCCAGTTTTTGGCCTATCTGCCTCAGCCTCACAATTGCTAGGATTGTAGGCATGCATCAACACACGTTGGCTGAAATTATTTTTTTGCCATTTGTGAAAGGTTAAATTTTAATCCAGTGGGTTTCTTTTGCATTAAAACTTTCTATACTTCTATAGTCTTTAATACTGTCCTGAGGTAACCATTTACTACCTGTAAGAATTCTAGAAATCTTTGGCTCCTGCTTACTGCCTATATAATGGTAATTTCATTCTTTTTTTTACCCTCTTTTTGGCCCACTTTGAGAGTTATGTTCTCTCCTTGTCAGAACATGCCAGTTTTACACATCCTTTGAACCCATGATCCCACCTTTGATTTTAGTCCTTTACTTGGCTTTATAAAATGCTCATAGTCCATTTCTAAAGGTTTCTGTTACCTTTTAATTGGATGAAGCCCATCCTACAGTGGATTCCTTGGAGAGAGCATGTGTGCACGGTATTCCTTGAAGTTTGGTACATGTATTTCACTGGTTTTCTATGGCCTTGAAACATGAAGGGCAGATAAGCTGGATATGGTAGCCCTAATATAAGAAAACATGGAGTAAACAATTTCTTGAAAATGCTTTCATCTGGCTGGGGATTTAGCTCAGTGGTTCCGCTGTCTGCCTTGCAAGCGCAGGGTCCTGAGTTCAATCCCTGGTACCAAAAAAAAAAGGAAATGCTTTCATCATTGCCTTGCTTTTTGTGTTGTTTTGAGAAATAAGATGCCAGTCTAATTTTCTTTGCTTTTCAGTTATTTTATCTTTTACCTGGGAGCTCTGAGAATTTTTTTTCCTTAATCTTAAATTCTAATACTTTTATAATTTTTAAAAAAATATTGTGCATTGTGGATCAGTTTTGTATTGCAATGTATAGATTCATGCCTTTTTTATTTTTGGAAAGTTCTCTTGAGTTATAGTTTTAAATATTCACTTCTGCAATCTTCAAGTATTTTGGGTCCATTTCTGCTTAGTTTCTTTGTTTTGATCTAACATTTTCTTCCATTTACACAAATATTTTTGGGGGGTAGTTAATCAGATTAAGTTGGTTTTAGTTTTCTTCTGTTTCATTGTTGGTTTTTGTTTTTGTTTTTTGGTACCGGGGATCGAACTCAGGTCCTTGTGCTTGTGAGGCAGGCACTGGAACCACTGAGCTAAATCCCTGGGCCTCATTGTTGGTTTTTATGGGAGACTTTATCAGCAAAAAATCTAGAACATTTTTATGAGTAATGTCTGGTTTGCATGTGTGGGTGTCTGACTTTTTTCTCTTTTTCTATTTTGTCTTTTTTAAAATCATTTTTGTTAGTACATGTTTGCAGTACATAATATTTCCGTTCTTTGTTGGTTCATGTATATAACACATCTTAATTCCTTTTATTCATTCCCCTTTTTCCCTCCCTTTTCCCTCCCTTCATCTCTTGTTCACCATCTTCTGTCTCCCTCCTTCCTATTATCTATCTTTTAATTTGCTCTCTGTTTATTGAGATAAAATAGACAATCTTTTCTGGACAAGAGCTCAAAATGTTAATTGTATTTAGCCCCCTCCACTGACGGGTAGCTCTTTTCCAATATCAAAAGCTGTGTGCCTGGGACTCCAGTGATGGACACCACTCTCTCACAGAAGTTGGTGACTGCTTGCTGCCAACTGGGTGAGCTGGGCTGGGTCCTGGTCGGCCTTGCTCTGTGCCCAGAGCTACCCTTGCAGCTCTTCCTCTCATCACAAACTGATGCTGGGGCCCAGGAAGGACCTGGGTCCTGGACTCTACCTCCTCGTCCTCCCTTTCTTCCCTCCTGCTTTTCCCTTGGTGCCTCCATCCTCTTCCCAGTTTGTGGAGGTTTCAGCCCATGGTTGGCTGGCTCCAGAGTGGGACAGCATGGCACTGAGGCCTGGTGGAGGAGAGCTGCTTTTACAGAATGGTGGACAGGAAGCAGAGAGAGCTCCTTTTTTTTCCAGTGGTGCTGGGGATTGAACCCAGGTCCTCACATGTGCCAGGCAAGTGCTCTACCACTGAGCTACATCCCCAGTCACTTGAGTTGTAAGACTTTTAAGACTGATCAAAGATAATTTTAATAATCCAGCTTTATTTTGTAGATGAGTTAACCGAAGTTCAAAAAGGTGAAGTAGCTGGCTGAGGTCACCTGACCGGGGGAAGGGGGGGGGGGGGGGGGGAGATACTCTACAACTCTAGCTTCCAGATCCTTTCTTTCTCCAATATTTGACTTCTCTTTCAGTAGTCAAGATGTTTAAAGTATAGTTTGAGGATGGTAAAATTCTGACTATGGGCTGTACATCTGTGGTCGGTATCATAAAGAGTAAATTAAAAGAGGGAATCAATGTCATGTAGCTATGGAACCTCCTAGGATGATGTCTTTGAGGCAAGAAGGCCATGACTTAAAAACTCCTGCTCCTGCAGTTTGCTGTTTTGAAGCAAGGACTTTCACCATGGGTAATAAAATGGTTACTGTAGCCATAAAAGAGCAGCAAGTTTACAACTTTCACCTTTTATATTGCCATTGGCTGGAGTAAAATGATTTTTACTGTAGGTTGTTTTCAATAGTTTAACCAGGAAAATGTTACCAAGGATAAGTACTAATTTATTGATTTCTTTTTCTCATCTGTTGCTTTCAGCTGATTCTTCAATTTTTCCTTGTGATTTCAGAATTATATGTGCAAAACAAAATGAGAACAAAGAGAACCTTAATCTGGATAAATGCCTTAAATAAGTAGAAACAGTCTAATAGGTTCCTAAGAAATGTTTATGAGACAAAGTAAATTTGAGGAAGGTCAATGTCCTTTTTTTAATTTTGGAGAATTAGATGAATTGGTATATAATGTTTCTGATATTATGCAGTATTTTCCAACCTGCAACATGCCCTTTTCTTACCTTCTTTTTTAAAATGTCATAGTAAAAGTTAAAAGAAATTTTGTTATTTGTTATACATTAACTATATTATATATTTTATATGCAGCCCAAGCCAATTCCTCTTTTAAAAAAATGAGGACAAGGAAAAGGTGGGCCAAAGGTTGGACACAGGCAAATAGTTTTCATTATTAACAAAAATACTTTTTATTGAGGACCTTTTATATGTGAGGCACTCAGCTCGGTGCTTCACATATATTATTTGAAATCATTACAGTAGTAGCCTATGGTAAATTGGTATCCCCTTGTTGGTAACATAGAAGCTAAAACTGAAAAAGACTTTTCCACGAGTATGAGTTTTAAGTAGCCAAAGAGCAAATTCAAATCTTTATGATGCCAAGATAATACTTTTTACTCTCTACCATACTAGGTCTGTAGGAGGATCGGACTAAGCTAGGATTCAGAACACATAGTGAAGATATAGTCTGCAGCTTTATTACTTGATAATTGAGTAATATTTTTTGGTGATCTTGTGGTAATGTTTTCCATAGAGAAATGTGCTCTTGCTGACTGCCATTCCTCCCCCTTGCCTGAGGGCCTATAATGTTCACTAGAAGTACACAGAAGCATCACTAGCAGCTAATGCTGTTGTTCTTCTAGCCTAGGATTCTTCTACCCCTGACTAAAATACTAAGGAATTACTTGTAAGAGGTCGAGATTTTTCTAGAACATGAGCTATGAACTATCATTATATCCCATGTGAGAAGGAAGGAAATACACCTGTCTTTCTAAACAATAGTAACAAAGCCACTAAAGTTAGATTTTATTTATTGGGGAAACAGTTATCTGAAAATTTATTGTACTTGCTAGTTCTTTCTTAAATATGATGTGTAACAAACACAGGCTAAAAAACTTACTACAAAGACATCACATCTTTCTAATTTTTAAAAAATTGCTTTGGCAGGAAGGATTTTACTTTTTAGCTGCAGAAAAAATACCATGTTAATTACTAATGTGCTATTATTTTTTTAAAAAATGAACTGTGAAACATCTTGGTGAACATAACTCCACTGCCTTATTTCCAGAGGTTTAGTTACAAAAAAAGTTTGAGTAAACACCACTTGAAAGTAACTTCCAGATATTATGACTCCTTTCTCCTGAATAAAAACATTTTTTTTTTTTTTTTTTGGTACCAGGGATCAAACTCAGGACCTTGTGCTTGCAAGGCAGCAGAGTGGAACCACTGAGCTAAATCCCTGCCCCAGAATAAAAACATTCTTTAACATAACCTCCGTACAATTATAAAAACGTCTAAGCTAATATTGACACTTTATTTGAATTTTGAAAAATATTCTAATCTAAAGCCCAGTCATGTATTGCATTTAATTGTTGTTTTTATTAGTTTCCTTTAACCTAGAACAGTTGGATCTTTCTTTGTCTTTTGTGATCTTGAAGTTTTTGAAGAATGTAAGCCAGTTGTTTTATAAGGCGTCTCTTCAGTTGAGTTTGTTTCATTTTATTTTGATTGTTTGGGTTATGCAGTTTTGATAGGAATGCCACAGAAGCTCCTTCCTTCTCAGCACATCAGATCAAGAGGCACACAGTACCTATTTGTTCCATTATGAGTGATATTAACTTTGGTCACTGCAAACTGTGGACCATTCTAAAGATGCTGCTTTACCCATTGTAATTATTATATGTCCTATTGGGGAGGTACTTTGACATTATATAAATATTAAACTTTCACCCACTAATTTTAGCATTTGTTAATGATTCTTTCCTGACTCCCTTGTTGTTGTAATGGCTACCCACTATTGCACATGCTTATTTTAACTTGGAACATTTCCAAAGAATAGGTGCTATAAGAAGCAAAACTGAAGTAATCTTCCAAGGTAGAGGTAGGTTTATGAAGAACACAGGGAAGCCATTACCCTTTCCAGCACGTGTATGATGCACTGTCAGTATGGAATGACCAATAATAGCATAAGATTTTACCTCTTAGAGACTGCGCACAGTTGTGTGTGTGTGTGTGTGTGTAAAACAGTCTAGGCTATTGTGCCAAGATTTAGACAAGTATGAACATATATAAATACTATTATAGAATTTTAGCATTTTCCATGTTCTTCAGTGGTTCTTTTTCTGAAAATTTGTTGTAATGTTTACCTTATTACATGATTGTTTTGTGGGGATTAGTTTTGTTATTTATATAGTATACCATATTAGATTTTACAAACTTTATTTTAAAATTAGAAACCACTTTTTTTTTTTTTTACATTTATCCTCTTAATTGGTTTAAATTATCGCAGTCAACACTTAAACTGAAGTTAAGGAGGAATATACCTTATTGTAAAGGATTATTTTTTCCAATCTTACTTTTAAATGTTAGAATCCGGAGTGTTGGGACAGCAGCTGTTAACATGTGCCTTGTGGCAGCTGGAGGAGCAGATGCCTATTATGAAATGGGAATTCACTGCTGGGATATGGCAGGAGCTGGCATTATTGTTACTGAAGCTGGTGGAGTACTAATGGATGTAACAGGTAAAATGGGACAAGAAAGCACTTTTTTCTCCACATCGATTAGATTTTCCTCTGTAGGTTATTAAAAGTGATTGATAAATACGATGCTTTAGCCTTTAGGGAAACAAGCTGTATAATTGTCTACAAAATCAGAATGAACATTAGGAGATAGGGCAGGGATATGAGTTAATAGTAACGTGGGACTGATAATGGGAAAAGGTCTGAGTTCCTTCCCAAGTACCAGGAGTTCCTGAGAGACCGTGGAGGACAGCCACTGATTCTGAGGGTTGTGTCAAGAGCTCTCCGAATGGTGACCATGGTGATAGGCGACAGTGGACTTCCTCCACCACCTCTTTCTGCTTTGGTCCTAGAAGGGTTTAAATACTTGTTTGAGCAGATGGTAAAAATGTTAAAGCATAACTGAGTTAAAAGAACTTACCAGTTACCTGGGACAAAGCAACTAGGAAATGGGAAGGAAGAGTGGTATGAAAATGTGTTAAAGTCAGATTTCCTATCTGTAGATTCCAAATAATAAAGAGGTGATAGGAATGCATAGCAGAAGAGACAGAAAGGGAAAAGATGACATTTTTCAGAGTGGTATGAGTTGAGCAAATACACTGGTATTTACTAAAAAACCCAAAGAACTTAGAAACTTAGAAACTTTAGAAACTCAGTTATGTACTGCCAAAGCTTAAGCACTATAGTTATGTGACAGAGTAGATTTTTAAAAAGAGAACTGAGTTTACTAAAATACTATTAGGGTTGACCATAATACGTACTGTACTTGGTTTTTTTCTAAATTATTTTTGTTCAGGATATAACCATTTTCCATGTTCTATTTGATCTTAGGTGGACCATTTGATTTGATGTCACGAAGAATAATTGCTGCAAATAGTAGAGCATTAGCACAAAGGATAGCCAAAGAAATTCAGATAATAGCTTTACAAAGAGATGATGAAGATTAATTTCAACAGCCTCATTATTCACAGTTTTTTCCCAGATTTACTGCAGCACTGTTGGATATGTTTCACATGTATGCTACGATTTAGATTATCTTTGATGTTCTAATTTTAAAATGAAAACTTTTCTATAGGTTGTATGCAAAAATAGGTGTAATGTTTGTTTTGTGGCTTTAAAAAATTTTGTGTTTAAGAGTATACTTTGGGAAAAATATACTGAAGTGTAGTTTGTGAGTTATACATTGAAATAATTAATTAGCAATTTTGTGTTTCTGTGTATGATCCTCTGAACTGTTGAGTTACTATTTGTTTTGGTTTTTTTTTTGGTACTGGGGATTGTACTTGGGACCTTGTGCTTGTGAGGCAGGCAGCGGAACCACTGAGCTAAATCCCTGGCCCGAGTTACTATTTATATACATAAGCACTCAATTAGAAAGTGACCTTTTTTTGGAAAAAATTTTCTCTTTGTTCCAAAGGCTATATTTAAAGTTTGTAAGGATATAATAAGTGCTTTTTAGATTAAGGTTTTATTTTTTAGCAGAAAACAGTGTATCTGCATCACTATATATACGTATAGCACCTAGCAAAATACCTGTCAAATAGGAGGCACCTTGAAAACGAACATTTTAAGAATGAGTATTTTTAACCAACAGTTCCTATTTATGATAAATACATAAAGTAATGAGCTCACTATTCTGTAGTTTTGCTTTTTTTTTTTTTTTATAGTACTAGGGATTGAACATGGGGCCTTTTTACTGAGCTAATCCTTAGCCCCCTTTTTTAAAATTTTGAGATAGGTTCTTGCTAAATTGCCTAGGCTAGCTCAAATTTACCATCTTCCTGCCTCAGCCTCCCAGAGTCTCATTCTTTTTATATTTCCTGTTACTGTACCATTTCATATGACCACACTGCCATACAGTGTTGCTCTCAGTATAGGCATTTCTGCAATTAATATGTTATCCAGTGCACATGTGATGGTTTATATTTAGATTGCCTTTACTCCGTGTAAGAGGAAAAACTTCTCAAAAGCACTACTGTCAGGTTTCTGATATAGTTAGATAAAATAAACATTTTCTAAATTATTGGTTTTTGTTTATTTTTGAGATGAAGTTTCTTTGTGTTTTCCAGACTAAGCTCAAAGTCAAAATCCTCTCCTTAGCCTCCCAAGTAGCTGGAATTAAAGGCATGCACCACCACATCTAACTTTCTAAACTGTTTTGGTTGTGCTGACAAATATAGTGTTGTTAATATTGAACTATTTGATTTCTCCCCCAAACTTTATTTAATTTCATTGCTGCTGTCTTTATATATTCTTTAATTGACTTTAGCCTATCAGATTCAAAAAGAAAATTGCACTGCTTCACACACATTTTTAAAGGATTAATTTATTGTTTAGCCTTGACTGTTGGCATGTGAACAAACTGTTAAGTTTTATTATAGGTGCATGTGAACCTTGTATTTGATAAAATGAAAAGTGCTTAGATAAAGTTCTTAAACTGAAAAGTGCTTATAGAAAGACACAAAGATTTGGGTATCAGTTATGGCAATTGTACTGTTAATCACATGTACTTAAAATATTTCATATTATGTAATTCTAAGGTAGGTTATTTTACAATTTTAAATAAAAGTTTATCATGAATAAAATTTTAAATAAGTATAATTGATATTTATATTATTAAAATATAGTTTAAACTACTTTTAAGAATTTTATGTTGAGTTTCAAATATTTGAAACTTGGAGTTGTGAATATATATTCTTATTGTTTACCTGTAGATTTCACAGCTTTTCTAAGAACTTTAAAAATTTTTCCCCTATAGATAGCTTTTACATTTTCCTTTGAGTGAAACTGGGTATTTTATGGCTCAATCTTCATTATAAACTATATTGAAAAAGGATGATTGACAAGTAAAACTTCCAAGAATGTATTTTTGTTCTGTCCCCTGATGGGCCCTTTTCAGGTTCCTCAGTTTTCCAGGTGTTTGTTTGTTTTTCTTGCATTCTCTCACTTTTGACATCTATACCTATCTGTTGTTCCTTTGATTTGAAAATATATTAAAATACGTAAGGTGCAGGTAAGGCTTTGTTTATAAGATGGCTTATTTAAAGTAGCCTTGGGCCGGGGATTTAACTCAGTGGTTCTGGAGCCTGCCTCACAAGCTTAAGGTCCAGAGTTTGATCCCTGGTACCAGAAAGCAACAACAATAAAGTAGCCTTAAATGCAAGACAACAAAACAAAGTAAAAGAATTAATTAGTAGAAATAAAACTAATTTATAGTCTGTGTGACTAGAAAATTCAAAAGATTCTGCAGACACAACATTAGAATTAGACTGTCATTGAAGATAAGGTTAGTGTAACTGCATTTGTATACCCTAACATTACATAAATTTAATGAATATACCATTTACAGTGGTATAAAAAAATCATCTAACTAGTTACTTAGAAATTATTCTAATGGAAGATTTGGAGCTGCACATGTAGCTCAGTGGTAGAGCATTTGCTTAACATGCATGAGGCCCTGAGTTTGATCCCCGTACTCACACAAGAGACAGACAAAGAGGGAGCTGGATGGAGAGAGAACACACGAGTTCTGCACTGAAAAACTACAAAACATTGCTGAAAAAGATTTAAAATATCTTAAATTTGATTTGTGGTTTAGGAAACTCAGTATTGGTCAGATGTCAATTCTTGCCAGATTGATCTGTAGACTCACCACATTCCCAGTTACACTCCCAATAATGTTGAAGGGAGGGAGGGAGGGAGGGAGGTTGAAAAGCTTTCTGTCATTATAACAAAATACCTGAGATAATTAACTTATAAAAAGAAAAGTTTATTTAGGCTCACAGTTTTGGAGGTTCCAATCTATAATTGGTTGGCCCCATTGCTTTGGGCCTGGGAGGAGACAGCTCATCATAGTGGGTATGTGTGGAAGAGCAAAACTTTCCATCTGGTGGCCAAGAAGGGAAAGAGGAAGGAGGAGGGAACTGGTCCCACAGTCCCCTTTGAGGGCATTCCCCCAGTGGCATAAAGACCTCCCATTAGGCCCTTCTTAAAGGTTCCAGCATGTCCCTCTCCTGCCACCCTGGTGACCAAGTCTTTAGCATTCAAGCTTCTGAGGGATAGTCAACATCCAAAGGATGGGGAGTGAGAGGGTTGGTAACTTACACGGAAATGTAGAGGGCTAACAATAGCTAAAGTCATCTGAAGAGCAGTTAGACTGTTCCTTCAAGACTTGTTATAGAACTCTGAAATGAAAGAAGTGATACTAGCTCAAGGCTAGACATGTTGGCCAATGAAATAGTCCAAAAATAGACTCAAAAATATGCTAGAGTTATCTAGTTTATGGAAGATGCTAGTGCAATGCAATGCAATTGGTCTTTTCAGTAAGTGGTGTGTGTAATCAATTGGATATCCATATTAAGGGAGAAAAATACTGATCCCAGCACACCATGTCAATTCCAAGTATGTCTGAGATTTAAATATAAAAGGGAAAACAGCTTCTAGAAGGTAGCATATCTTCCTAACATTGGTGAAAAAGACTTGGTAACCACATAAATAGTACTAACCCTAAAGAATCTATCATCAAAATAAATTTACTAAGCTGGGCATGGTAATACATGCCAGTCATCCCAGTACTGGGAAGGCTGAGGCCAGATTGCAAGTTTGAAGCCATCCTGAATAGTGACCTATATAGTAAGATGTATCAAAAAACAAAAACTTATTAAGATATTAAGAATGGCAACGCCATATAGGCAAATACATATACACATAATAAATATGTAAAAAATTCCTACATATCAAAGATAATGCAATTGCCAAGTAAGCAAATAATTTCAATATGTACTCTACAGAATAGACATTGAAACAATAAGCAAATGTAAAAGATTCCTTATCCAGCAAATGCAATCCACATAATAATATGTCACACTATATATACCAGAATGGCTAAAGCAAAACAAAAATTCAGCAACAGTGAACAGGCCAGACACCTCTCAGATTGACACCCAGGGTTGGGAAGCACATAAAGTGCCTTGATTTTATGTACACTGTTGGCAGAGTGTACATGGGTATAACTACTTTGGAAGATCTGGAAATAACTAACAAAGGTTAGTTCCATCCAGCATCTCCACTACTTGGTATGTACCTCACAAATGCGTATGTACACCTGCAAAATATGTTCATAGCAGCATTATTTGTAATACCCCTAGCAGAAAGCAGTCTCAAAGTCTACCAACCACAGAATGGATTTAAGAAGGTGTGTAACAGACACAGTGCTAGTACTGCATTGAAAAAAAATAGGTGATAGCAACATACAATGTGTGGATTTCTAGTCTGGCTCAACCTCTACTTTTTCAGTGGTTCTGCCCATTTTGAAGTGATGTCCTGATTTACAGAAGAGAAATCTCTTCTGCCTTTGACTTCCTTGACCTTCTGCAATTCTTCCTTGCTTGTTCTGTTTTTAAAATCACACTTCGAAATTGTCCCCTTTGTCCACTTCTCAGTCTCCTTTGCTAACTTCTCTTCCTCTGATGATAAAATTGTTCCAGATTATGCATCCCGGTCCTCATATCCCTGGCTAGCCAGTCACTTGGGAAACTGATGCATCCCTGACTTTGACCAGCACATCCTTTCTACTGCCTCTCAGATTTTGACCTGCAGCCCATATTTCCTTTCTGAACTCTCACCTTGAATCTCCAGCTCCTTTCTCCAGGATGTGTTTTACCAGATGACATGTCTCAAACCAAACTACTTAGTTTTCTACTCAGAATTTTCAGCTATTCTGTATATATTCCCTCCCCACTTTCTACTTGGAGACTGTTATATTTGATGTTTACCTTTCCGTTGTCTTCCACATCCAAATTGTTGTAGCCAAATTTTGTATAATACAGTCCCACCTAACATTCCCTTTGAATGCTACAGCCAAACTAAAAGACTAGTTTTTCACAGAACTCCTTGGAACCTTTTCAGCTGGTATTGCATCTGCCCAGAAACTGGTATAGTAAAAGATGTTTTTTTAAAAATGAGTCACAATGAGCCCCCACTCTACACAGGCTTTATCTTCTGTCACTACATTTATAGATGGTGTGCTTCTACCCCCAACTAATTCAGGAGGAGAAATCAGATACAAGCAGGAAGAACAAAGTTTGCTAGGAAATTGGGAATATTGAATCTAACAGACTTGTAAATGATTGGAAATAACTTACGGTGCCATGGATTAAAAAAAAAAAATCCTTCTTAGGAGTCATGGCCCTCACGTTGAATTGGGTACAAGCATTCAATCCCTCAAGCCTATTTTTAGAGGAACAGAAATATTCCTTGTTACATTTCTAATTTCTAAGATGTTAAATGTAACATGCTTATGTCCCTTAAGTAGTTTATTCTTTTAAATAGCTCATAAGATATTTTCCTTGGAATAAGTATTGTTATTAATAATTTTCCCACTCATTGAGCACAGTGTACCATGCATTTTGCTAAGCACTTGATATTCGTGATCGTATTTAATTCTCATAATAACCCCCAGGAGAAGTTATTATCCTCATCTTACTGAGGCAGATAGATGTTATTTAATTAGCCCAGCTTTTCTGCACAAAGCAACACAGCTGAGCAGTGAACTCCTATAGAGACACAGTTGGGGTCCACAGTCCTGACCCACAACCCAGCAGCCCTCATCCTGACTGCACATTAGAACCACCAGGGAGATTTAAAAACATGCCATTGATGGGGTGCCTCTGAGTCTCTAGGTCTGGAGTGTCGCAGATCATCTGTACTTTTAGTTTCCTGGGTAATATTATCATGTAGCCAGAATTGAGAAGAACTTTGTTGATCAGAAGCAATCAATTTCTTAGTACCAACTTACCCGTCCACTTGCCCACCTTCACAAACCCCAGAGTTTTATGGCACAGTTTGCTACCTTAAAATGAAAATGTTGTTTTGAGTCAGCCCTTTGTCACCTGGTGAGCTTGCTTGCCAAATTACGTATTAGCCTTTTTTTTTTAGTTCCAAAAATCAACACTAGATGGCAAACAACACACAGGGAATCATTTTATGTAAGCATTTTCACTTTCAAAGCATTTTATTTTCCTTCAAATAACCTCATTGGCCAATATTTAAGTTTAATAATATGGTATTATACACGAGGTGGGGGCTGGGGATGTAGCTCAGTGCTAGTACACTTGCCTAGCAAGTGCAATGCCCTGGGTTCAATACCTAATATTACAAAATATAAAATATTAAAAATAGAACAAGAGAAACTCATCATAAATTGTATTGTGGGTTAACTCACATCCCCTTAAGCAGAGCCACAGATACCCTCTACATGTTTAAAAAAGTTTTTATTAGTATATATTTGCAGTACTTAATATTTACATTTCTTGTGTATGTTACGGTCTGAAGGTTAGTCCTCTCGCTGCTTCAGCTTTTCAAGTGCTTTGCTAATCATAAACAAATAAAATGAAATACCGTATTTTGCTATCATACTTGAGAATTCTTTTCCACTAATACATTGCAAACTCGTTGTTAAATAATTGACCCACTAGTAAAAACAGTTGTAAATATACTGCTTATCTTACTTAGGGAGCGGGTGGCACTTCCAGCAGCACAAAGCAGGGGGCGCTAGGACACCACTCTATGCTCATTTTCCCTGAGA